CAATGCAGTAACGGGAAAGAAGGAAAGAAATCATCATACATATGTTAAATGTTTGCCTTTGAGAGAATCGGTATGAACAATAGAAAGGTGAAGAAATATTTTTATGCCACCAAAGCGGGAAATGCCGTTGATCGGTTAATTCTTAGGAAACAAATGCATGAGAAACGGTTCTGAGCAATGTCCGAATTCTTTCAATGTTAAACAGTCGGCAACAGACTCTTCCAGATTTTACACCATGTGTTTCGCACGGACAGTTGTGAAACGTATATATATATATATATATATATATATCTATATCTATATCTATATATATATATATATATATAAAGCACTAAAAATGACCAACGACACGAACAATAATAATTGTCAAATTTTCGGGACGACCTGTCCCTTCCTCAGGACAAAGAAAAAAGTTAAGAAGTCATAAAAACAAAGGAAATAGAGAAACAAAAACAACTAGCACTACTACTAAACTACCAAACACTAAATATTTACAGTATTACATGTTTAATTTGAAATTTATAAACAGTTGTGAACAAAAAAAATCCGGAGCGCTATGAATTGCGTCCGGTCTATCGGGTGTACTCTGGTGAAGTGCGATTTACATAATTGAACGAATTAATTATCGCTAATTAATTACGACCAAGCAGTAAATCGTACATTGTCTTATTCTCTCAAAATAGCGTAACTATACATGATAAAAAGAAATTAAAGATAATATGGATTGATTGATTGTATGTTGTTTTACGTCCCATTCGAGAATTTTTCACTCATATAGAGACGTCACCATATACCGGTGAAGGGCTTCAAATTTTGACCTTTACTCGGCACTCAGGGCCATTGAGCAGTGAGGGATCTTTATCGTGCCAACGCCTGCCGTGACACGGGGCCTCGGTTTTTAAGGTCTCATCCGAAGGACCCGCAACTTTCACTTCAAGTGCCGAGCGCATGGCGAAGGAACAGTTGCTACCCATTTTTTATCGACTTAGGTCAGTCGCGGCCGAGATTCGAACTCACGACCTCCCGATCACGGAGCGAGCGCTCTACCGACTGAGCTACCGTGAACGGTTAAGATAATATGGAAGGGCAATTTTAAAATATGAATTTGGATATATTTTAGATTTGGAAATCTGATAAGAGAAATAAACAAAAATGTAAGCTGTAAATATTTGGGTAGGTTGTTCCAGAATTGCTAATGCGAATTAACGGTAAAGTTTACACTATATGGAGAGAATGAACTTGTTTGTTACAATCCGGGATTGGGTCTAGTTCACGTTCATCCTGGTGAAGTCATTAAGTTTGTTAATACCATTAGGGCGGAATGACTTCAGCCTGTGCATCCAGAACTTTTCCTTGCCTTTTCTCTGAGCGTCTGTCCATCTTGGATTATGGTCAATAACCACTACTATTATGTCCTCCCATTTGTGACTTTCAAGGTTGAAATGTTCCCCAACGGTTTCATTGAGTTTTTTGGTCCTAATGGTAGAACGGTGATTATTGACTCTCCTGCGGAGATCTCCTGTTTCACCAACATACTCTTTGGAGCAAACTTTGCAACTGATGAGATAAATGCAGTTGTCTGTTTGACAGGACAAATTCCCTAGTATTTTGTAGCTGCTGCCTGTAACGGGGCTGTTAAAGCTGTCTGTGTCAGAGCTGTGCTTACAGAGAAGACATCTTCTGTCAGAGCAAGTTTTAAAGCCCCCGTTAGGTAACGGATTGTCCAATCTGGTTCTTACTACCTTGTCCTTTTGGTTCCTCGGGCGTCTGTATGCAGCCAATGGGGGCTCCTTAAAGACCTCTGCCATTCGTTTATTTGAGTGGAGAATTGGCAGGTTCTTTTGAAGGATACCGCTGAGGTTCTTAAGGACGGGATGGTGTGTGGTTACCAGAGGGCCCTGCCTCATTCTCTCTATATCGTTTACCGTTAATTCGCATTAGCAATTCTGGAACAACCTACCCAAATATTTACAGCTTACATTTTTGTTTATTTCTTTTATCAGATTTCCAAATCTATAATATATCCAAATTCATATTTTAAAATTGCCCTTCCATATTATCTTTAATTTCTTTTTATCATGTATAGTTACGCTATTTTGAGAGAATAAGACAATGTACGATTTACTGCTTGGTCGTAATTAATTAGCGATAATTAATTCGTTCAATTATGTAAATCGCACTTCACCAGAGTACACCCGATAGACCGGACGCAATTCATAGCGCTCCGGATTTTTTTGTTCACAACTGTTTATAAACTTCAAATTAAACATGTAATACTGTAAATATTTAGTGTTTGGTAGTTTATTAGTAGTGCTAGTTGTTTTTGTTTCTCTATTTCCTTTGTTTTTATGACTTCTTAACTTTTTTCTTTGTCCTGAGGAAGGGACAGGTCGTCCCGAAAATTGACAATTATTATTGTTCGTGTCGTTGGTCATTTTTAGTGCTTTATATAAATTTCCATCCGTGACCTTGTATCTACTTCGTAGATCCGACACTTAGGATATACAGTGTTGTTGGTTTTTAGTGCTTTATATATATACGTGTATATATATATATATATATATATATATATATATATATATATATATATATATATATATATATATATATATATATATTCGTTTTGAAATTCAGATGTAAAGATGCGCAAATGAAATTCAAAATTTCGGCGACCTAGAAAGAGTTGTCAGGGTTATTTTAGGAATGACTCTAATTGTTGGCCAAATTATTCGAGTATAACCTGGTTTGGGTCAGTTTACGCTTTATAATCCGCAAAGCGGATTATAAAACAGCGTAAACTGACCCAAACCAGGTTATACTCGAATAATTTGGCCAACAATTAGAGTCATTCCTTATAATTTAATTTTACAATCATTAAATAACTAAGGGTGTAAAATTTCGTTGCTTTTTATTAGTTCAAATTTGCCGCTCAATAATACAACCGTAGTAACGGAAGTAACGGAAGTGATGGGAAGCGAGGGGAGGTAAAAACTGATGCATAGGCCTAGCGGCAGCCTTGTTGTTTGTTTACATGGGGTAAGATCGAATTATTGTTAAGTTAAAGGTACATTTATTAAATCTGGAATTTTCCATGAATCCCGAGGACTGGAAATGAGTGGACTGTATGGATATAGATGATTCAGCTGGTTTTCAGGGGGGTGTGTCCCCATACCAAACCAGGTTATACAGAAATAATTTGTGTTCCTTTTTGGATATTAACCAATCAGAGGCTAGAATACAAACAAAATTAAATTATATTTGAGTAGCATCCCTTTACATTATCGAACCTAAGATATCTGCTTAACGGAGGAAATACGAAGTACTTACATACCCATTGGGATATAGTAAAAATTAAAAACTAGTAAGTTTTTGGGCGTAATTGTTAGAAGCAGCTGGTAATGGCACGACAATTTGTAAACATTGTTCGTTTTGTGTTACACCGCGTTTGAAAATTTGGGTCATATATTTTCAAACTAAGTTATATGTTGGGCAATCATTCGTTTTCATGTTAAATCTCATCACTAAAAGATAAATATTAAATGATAAGAAATAAATCTTATATTTTTTTTCTTTGATCAATGTATCAAAGAAACTTGGACGGAAAACTTTTTTCATCCGTCCAAGTTTCTTTGATATGTCGATCAAGATTCATTTCTTAATTGATTTGGGGGAAAAGTATAAATAGTAGTATAGTATTATATTCATTTACGTTGTCAGAATTCTATAATGTTATGATGATGAAATGCTTAGTGTTCTAGCAATGTCTTTGGATGTAAATCTGACATTTTTAGATATCATGTTGCACATTTCATCGATATTTTTTGGTGTCCCTACAAATTTCAATCGATCAGTTTGACTTTTATATTTTAACTCTTCTTTTTTACTTTTGAATTTCTGAATCAATCTGCGTTGAAGACTATTCTTTCAACATATAAAAATCATATCTTTAATATGAGTTCTTCGGCGATTTATGTAAAGAAGCACAGTTTTCACATACGCTCTGATTTTCATCTTCTTGGCAGAGATCATTTTGAACAGTTTTCAGCTCAGTGTAGTAACCATGCATACTTTAAAAGTAAATTTCTTTGCCAGGACAATAGGAAAAATCATGGGGTTTTCTGTGATTAGGAGCTCTTAAATTGAACATTTCAACTGTGAAAAAACAAAATTAAATAGATCTACATTTACAGTGATATAATGTTTGTTGCATAATTTATTGAACGACTCTCGTATGGTTTAATTAGCACTATAGAATCCAAATTTATTGTAACAACTAAAACATTAGAAAAAATTTTTAAATAGAGGTCAAAACAAAAATCTGCCCAAAAGGTCAGGATCGACCCTCTTTCGGAAAAGATAGAGGCAAAGGGAAAATCATAGAAAATGTAATGAACAGAATATTCAACGTTTTGTAGTTGGGTATGGAATTTATTTCACGAGTGGGACAGGATTTTTTTAAAAAAAAATTCACTCGTGCTTTGCACTCGTGAAAATATAAAAAAAAAATCCTGTCCAACTCGGAAATTAAATTCCATGTTCAACTACAAAACATTGGATATCCTATACATATATTTACAATATGACGTCAAACGAGCATGGCATCACCTAAATCATACTCTGAAGGTTGATTCTTTGTCTATCCGTGCTGCACTATATTCAAGAGAATTCTAAATAAATGTCACGTGCCAATATTTTCTATTTTATTCCTCATTCAAGTTCAGACAAGGTCACTTTATTTTGCAAAGTATCCTTCAAGAGAGGTGTTCTGTAACATGTAATATAAAATATTTATTAGAAAACATTTCAGAGTCCAATGTTCTTGGAATGGAAAGCATGAACATTTATTATTGAATATTTTAAGACTTGGATTTCTCCCTCATTTGGGTTCGAACTTTAATAATTAATAAGAAAAAAGGAAACGGTCATAGAATTTGATCGATTACAAAATAGTATTTTACTTGATCTAGAGGTACACAAATTTATAGGCTTTTATTTCTGCATCGACGTTCAAAATGATTAAAAGGAATTTCTTTGACATTCTTTGGTCTGTATTCCTTATTTTAATTTCCCCTGTTCTCTCATCAGGAGAAACCCAGAATTCCCGACTGACTGGATATGTCATCACGTCGCTCAGTCCTATTGGATTCCGTGGTTGTTCTAAGGAATGTAATTCTTACTCAGATTGTAAATCATTTAATTTCAACAGAGTCCATTTATTCTGTGAATTATCTTATAAATCACGTGTTGATGCTGAATCAAATTTAATCAATGATCAAGGATTCGTTTATGTGGACAAATCAGACCAACAGGTACACTTACAGTACATTACATTGTATTGGGTTTATTTACAACGAATTTCTTTGTAACGGGTATATTTACAGCAAATTACATTCTAACGGATTCATTTACAGAGAATGACGTTATCGCGGGTTCATTTACAGTAAATTACTTTGTATCGAGTCCATTTACAGTAAATTTTCTTGAAGTTGAAGCAGTTTGCTCTGATATTACATGACAGAGATATATAAACTGTTATTGTACAAACGATTTGCTCTTTTTCAATAAAAAAGTATATTTGTATACGGAGAGGTTGTTTTTGCAGAAACGTATTTGCCTTAAATATGAAATTTATTGAACTTTCATTACATTGAATAATAACAGGAAAACACATCGGCGTGCACGGGGAAAGGAAGGAGGTGTATTCCTTCTCACAGCAATCATCGCTCTTATGACATTTCATTTGTTAACAGTAAGACAACATAATTTCATTTCTGTACCAATCATTTTTATTTGTTTGTTTGAATGTTTGTCTGTGGTTTTTGTTTTGTTTTTATGTGCTTTTATACACATAAACGGAATTACAAATCTTAAATTAAATAGAAGAATGTTACTTCTTAAGAACGAATCCCCTCCCCCCCCAAAAAAAAATCCATCTCACTTATATACAATATCAGCATACAATGTAGTTCACTTTATTTATAGACTGTGAGAATATTGAAATAAATGGTACAACTGCTGGTGTGAATTCTACAACTGTTGGTTCGACAATAGCCCTGCAGGAAACAGGCAGTAATGAAAACAACACTGTCAACTTATCTTTTCTGACGTGTTCCCCAAATGGAATTTGGAAACAGGAAAATAAAATCTGTCACGGTAATATATCTCATTTATTACATTTTCAACCATAAAGTTCTGTAAATTATGCATGGAATAAAATTGATATTAAAACCATAAAGTTCTGTAAATTATGCATTGAATAAAATTGATATTTGAAAAAAATAAATGATATCTGGCAACACTCTAATTTCATGACTCTGAAATACTTTTTGCCAAAATGTCCAAATCCATGTTTGCGATTTCAATCTTAAATCGCTTAGCTTGATATTTCACAAGAGCTCAGATGTGAGCAAAGCATAAGCCAACGCATTATAAAGAAAACCATCCCGCCTCACCAAATTAACAAAAAAAAAAAAAAAAAAAAAAAAAAAAAAAACACAAATCCCCAATTTACTTTTCTGAAACTTCATTATTATACACCAATAATTCTTCCTCGACAATCTCGATACAGGACTCTGTGTTTTTGAACATGTGAGGAAAATTATGTCTAACATTTTTAGCCCAGTTTTTTAAAGCTAACGTTAACGCTACTAATTGGTTTAAACTTGTTTCTGTTTAAGTATTTACGACGAAATGTCTGTAAGAAATGGAAAAGGTTTTCAAGTTTGCCGTAGGAAAATATTTTTTTTTAAATTGTTGCACACAAATATAAGTGTAATTCAAAATATCTTCGGTATAAGTTTATCATATCATATCTAAAATAAAATTCTACTTTTTCAACAGAAAAATGTAGGGATTGTGCATTTTTATGAAGCGCATTAAGAAAAGTATAACAATTTACAATTTATGAAGATCAAGTTATTTATTCTGAAAAGATTTTTCTGGAAGATTCTTGTCTACGGATTTCTCCGTTTCCTCAATCATGACTAGGAGCACACAATGGGTGTGTCCTGTCGACAGGGTATACTTACTTTTCCGTGGCACCCGATCCCACCTCTGATGCTTTTAGAGGTCTATGTTTGCTCTGCTCCCAATTCATATTGTTTCAATGGAATTCTGAGCTTGATTGCTGTTCTTTAAACATCACGTTTATCAAGTTTGGTGGTTAGGTTACCATTAGCGTCTCTTTCTAGTAAAACAACCAAATATGAAACAGATGTGTCTGACTGTGGTATCTTTTATTTCAAATTCACTGGTATATGTCGAGTCGACAAATGAATGGAAGTACATAAGTTTCCAATCTTAGATAAAATTCAAGTTGTTTTGTTTCTTTTATAGTGTGTAACAGTACCTGTTTTTCGAGTTGTGGAACGATCATGTCACCCAATTATCCTGATGTATACTATAACTATGCTGATGTTACATGGAACATTTCGACAAGTCAAAACAAAAAGATTTACCTTAGGTAAATTAACATTTTAAACTTGTGATTGTGGTTGTAATTTGCCTTTTTCTAAGAATTCGTATTGTGCACACCTAAAATAGCTTCCATTTCCCCTTGTTTTGGGATATTCGTTCACAAAGAAAGTAGCTCGAAAATTAACAATTTTAAAAAGAATAGTCTTTTATAACGAGTGTTTAGTAATTGGTGAAAATTAGGAAGAATTGTTAAAAATTTGTGCAAATTGCTGAAATAAAAGAAATCGCCCATGAATAAAAACCATCTTAAGTTTATTTTATGTTTTCACAGGTTCATGGACTTGGTATTAGAAGGATCATATGACTTTGTAGAGATATTTGACGGACCTTCTAACTCATCCAATAGAATTCTCTATACAGACAAAAAACTGAGCTACATTGTGAGAAGCAGCAAGAATTTCATGACAGTTTGGTTTCACACAGATTTCTCCATTGTAAGAAAGGGGTTTAAAGCGATATATTGGAGTTTTTAAAATCAATTCCGAAAAGATACTCCTAAACGACACATCTGACTTAAAAAGCTTTTCCATAAAGCTTGGAGTGTTCATATTTTGGATTACTTTAATTTTTTAATTTTCAAAATTTTATAATTCATGGCGTAGGAGTATCGAGAGGGCAGGTATTGGAGAATCGTGACACTTATCTTTTAAAGGTCTGAATTAATTATGATATTTGTTATTTTGGTACCTTTTTTCCTGTATTTCGATTTTTATTGTCTGAGGATGATGACTTTTTAAGATTATTTCCACTATCGAATGTCACTATCATTTGTTACTTTTATCGTCCTGATACCCCTCTGTATTATGTATGAAGAGAATGTTACACAGTCAATAATAGGTGATGAATCGATACTCACTCACGTGACTGTGGATACCTGGGAGTCTATGAAGAAGTAGGAAAGGTCTAAACATTGGAAACTGACATTTTTTTCTAATGTTTTGAACATGCAATATTGCAGGATTTTCACTTTTTAGTTTCCATATCGTTTTTATTGTGGTTTAAGATTTATTCATAATATTTACGTTGCAGAAATGTCAAATATGATGAATAAAACGACATCCTTTAATTCAAATGCTTGTGTTTTTTCTTCCAGGCAACCTTAATTAAAACGGTGTTGTTTTACCTACAGAAAAGTAGAGGCTTTTGTTGTAAATATGTAAAAAGGAAAGAAATACACAGCAAGATTTTTTTCTTTCTTCTCAATTAACATTACTTTTGAGAATAAAATCTGAAGTAAGTTTAAAAATTTCATGGGAATATATATATAAAAAGAGATGAAAGCAACTAAACGCAAAAAAGGAACAATATGTGATAAGATCCCGTAATGCATTTGCCTCAGATGAAATATGGAGATAATGAATTCAAAAGTCCATCGAAACAATACAAATCGAGAGTAGAGCAAACAACGCACCTCTAAAAACATCAGATGTGGGTTCAAGTGCTATGGAGAAGTATAATTGAGAAGGTATGTGTAAAATCAGTGATTTTTACAAAGTGATTCTGTTGATGTCCAATCACAAGATACGAAAATTTCCGAGTTCCATTTTAATTGAAGAAGCAGTTGTGTATGATATCAAAAAGTTTATTTTTCAATATATAATGAAAAGGTTGTTATAAAGTGTAGAAAAGTCTTACGTTTTGATGTTAATGACTTTTGAAAACCTTTGTAATTTTAAATTTTCTAAAAGATCTTAGGATTTTTTTAGCAATTTGTTTTAAAATAGATGTTTAGAATCCATATCTTTTTTACTCCACTTCTAGAATATTTTGAGATCTTCCATCCGCTCCCCGGTTTTTTATACATCGCGAGGCTCGCGACGCATAAGCGGATGGAAGATCTAATTTTAATTAGATTGTAGCACAGTACGTCTGAAGTTTCTCCTTTACAACAGCTATTTCTTTAGAAGTAAAGATTTATGGTTTTTAGAGCATTTGCTGGACCCGGAATGTATCTGTTTGTAACGATTATATGATTTTAGGAATCCAGTATAGGTAGAGTAGATCAACCTCACCTTGGTTGATGTAATGTTATTAGTACTAAACACTGAATTGTGATTTTGAAGAAAGTGAACGGTGAGTATAAGTTGGATTTCCAGACGTAGAACTAAAACCAGGTTCTTCTAAAATACAGTTATAACAATGAGTCTTATAAACAAAGACGATAAAGTTACATGTCTTGTCTGATAAAACCTTAACATATTGTTCATGCAGTCTTTCTAATTCTTTTATCACCTCCAATTTAGTGAAAACGGAAGGGTAAATGGTTTATATATTGTCTTTGAACTTTCTAATACGATTCTTTAATATATTTCAAAAACATCTGATCCATTCTGACAAAATGTTAAAGTCTCTTCTTTCATGATTAACCAATAACCCATAATTAACTGACATAATCTTCGACAGATGTGGTTCTGTCGCCAATTGAAAGATCGGGGCTCCCTGTATTTTGGACCTTTTAAGATGATGGCTCTTATTTCTTCATTTTCAACTATATCCACAGCAGTGATGTCCAGAAGGACTGTAATCAACAGAAGAAGAGCAAGAACTCTTAAGAGGAATTTGTTTTAGATGTTCAATATCTATGCACTCTAAGGTTTGTTTATAATGGAAAAGTTTGGAATAAACAGTTAGGGAATATCTCTAGGAAATGCAGGGTGTACCTCAGCTTGAAATATAGTGGAATTCAAGACTGAACATCTTCATAATTAAGAATATTACTAATGTGCACAGCATCTATTCCTCTGTTGGCAAATTAAAGTTAAAGATTTAGAATTATGTTCCGACACACGTGGTGGCTTAAAGAGCCTGTGCTAGGCAACATCCATAATCAGAAACACTAGCTTGATTCTGCAATTGAAGAATCTAAGTATGGACTTGCTTTAGTCTCTTCAAATAGTCCATTATAAAATTTCAAGGGAACGGAGTACATGTAATTTTAGTGCGAATCTGATGAGATCCAACTGTTTATTGATGTAAGGCAAAAGTGAAACAAAAGAGACATTGTGTATATTTTGGTCTATCGTACAATCGATGTTCATAACAACGCTTACGTCTTTACTTCTATAGTGTTAATAATGTCCATCACACTCAAATTGGCACATTGTGGGCTTGAAAGATCCCTTATATTTTTTATGTAATCGTTGTAACTATACTGAAAGGCCATACCTAGTTTTCTAATTCAGTATTTTTCTCGTTGTTTACGGAATGGAGTACTCAAAGTGGGACTAAGTTGAATGATATTTTTCCTAAATTCCAACCCTCATTGAAAGAGGAAAAAGTGTTCAGACGAATTAAAATGTTAATAAAGATGTTGATTGCCCCCAATATGCTGATGATGTTAGAATATTACTACTGTACATACTACTGTACATAAATAAGGGAAGTTAATGATGGAAAAGCTGATGCCATCTCGTTTGGCATTTATCTTATAAAACACATATAATTCTAATTAATAAATATAGGATCTCCCATGATTTGTAGTTGGATATGATTTTTATCCAACGAGTTGTGTGTTTTTTTATCCCCGAGCCTTGGCGAGGGGATAAAAACACACAACGAATTGGATAAAAGTCATATCCATCTACAAATCATGGGAGATTCTTTTTATCCCATATTTAATACTTCACAACCAATGTTTTACACTGTTTTATATAGGACTCCACTTTATTTTACTTCATCACGCTAACGCAAAAACCATTGTGACGTCACAACTGCACTTAACTGTGGGATATGAAAAAAAAATATCCAATGAGTCATATCCACGGGATAAAGGGGTTAACATGGGATAAATATCAATAGCGAAAAAAATTCAATGTAAATTTAATGGACGACTTGTTATCTAGATCAAGAACTTTACATTCTTTACATCTGACTGCTTTACTGTCACGGGTATCTGCGTGGAATGGCGACCCATGTTCGTGCTGATTATCTTGCATTAACTTTGTTTACATTGTATTGCAGGTACGTGTATTTGTTGGTATAATGCACTGACATGCATGTGCAACTATTGAAAGTTTCTTTGGTATCTTACTCTAGCCTACATCCGTCTACTTCGGTGACCTTTGATTACACTGAACAGCGACTAAGTCAGCGGCTTTATATAGGGTCCTCAGATATAGCGACAGACCAATCGATTATGGCGAACAAATTCCTTTTACCAATCGCGTTCAGCTTAAATGTGTCAATGGTAGGGGTACCCGGTGCATGCAGTCACGAAATCAGATATTGAAAATATGTAACACCTATATTCAAACTCCCGGTGGACTCATAGTAAGAGCGAAAACAATTCAAATTATCATGTATAATTTTTCAAGTTTATTTTAACTTCATTTTGTGCGAGTTTGTTTGTATTTTGATCAGGAATACGGAGATTATTAAATTATAAGCACGGGATAGAAATTTGATAACGGCAACAAAGTGGCAGAATACAGAATCAGTGTTTTAAAATATCTTTCTTCTTTAAACCTCATATAGGCAATATTTTAATGCATATTTTGATTAAAGAAAAGTAAACAAGGGAATCATGGTACGCATTGATCTTCAAATCATGTGGAAAAGATAGAATTCTTGAAGAAAAATAAATCTTATCAAACTTTTTTAAACTCAAAGCGTACTATTTGACTGCTTCATTATTTTTTTAATCCTTGTGTTTAAAAGCAAAGTGATAGAAGAAAGTCGTAAGATGATAGCCATTATTGTATTTCACATCGATATTCAGAAAATTGTTAAGTTGTATAAAATGTAGATATCAAAATTACAAACATTTCAAACATTGAGGGAAATATGTTCAAATAATAGGACAGATAGGTGTAAAATACATAACTAAGTTGTGTATATTTCTCGGACAACTGTGTATAATGCATGGTAAGTAGCTGTACGCCCATAAACATTGTAATATGTAGTTCTTATCTAATGATAATAAGAGTTTTGTGCTTTGGACAAAAAATCTTCCTGCAGGGAATTTTTTTTTTATTTTTGTTTCGGATATGCTTGTAGTTCAAAAGTAATATTAATTAGTTTTAGTAAGTTATCATTATAAAGTTTTTATGATGTTTTTGATAAGAAACGAGAAATGTTTTAATGTAATATTTTTCTTTTAGAACATATAAGATAACTAATTTTTTGAAAAGTCAATTACATAAAAACGTGTGGCTTTTTAAAACACTTTATACAACAAATCCTCACGATATATTAAAAAGTAAGATTTTTGATACCATAGACAACTGTTTCTTTAATAAAAATGGAAGTCGGATATTTAAATGTAAAAATCACTCAGATTTCACACGTAAGTATTTTGAAGCTGACATTAATTGGATGCTTGAATTCCTCACTGACAACATTTATGTAGTCTTTGGAGGCCAGGTCTTCCAAATACCGTTTGAATTCCAATGTGCACTAATTATGCTTCTTTGTTAACCAACCTGTTTTATGGCCTTTTATGTTTTTATGCCTATGAAGCAGAATTTATAAAAAAAAAATTCTGCATGCTGTGACATTATGCTTGACATTCTGATATATCGACGACGTATTATCGATTACTTCCATTCATATGTCGACTCGATATATTCCAGTAAACTTGAAATAAAAGAAACCTTAGAGTCTGCCACATCTGCTTCGTATTTGGATGTTTTACTGACTATAGATGATAAGGGTTAACTAACATCTACATTGTATGACAAAGGAGATGACTTCAGATTTTCCATCGTCAAGTTGTCTTATTTGTAGTAATGTTCCGCTAACACCTTAATATGATGTTCACCGCTCCCAGCTTATTTGATACTCAAAACATGTATAATCTCTCATATTTTGGCTGAAGTGTTCCAAACCAATCGTAAGGCCTTTGTTTTAAATTTGACTACAGAATGATTCGTTTACCTGAGCAATACTAGTACATGGCGTTCACGGCTGGCCTGACCGCTCTACAGGGGATGGTTACTTCCCATCCCACATCTGGAATTTCCGGGGGTCCGTGCTTTATGCCCTGTTCTCAGATTTGTATTGTCTGTAGATTAATTTGAGATCCATTACTTTTTGTTATCTTCAACGTATTCATTAAAATGTTTTAGATAATGATAAATTCTCATATTTTGTTACTAAGAAGGTCCGAAAACTATTAAATTCTTTTTTGTTTTGTTTTTTGGTTTTGTTTAATCTTCATTTATTGGTTTGGTTCATTCTATATCCATTCAGCTCCATATTCAAGTGAATCATAATAAAAATGATCACTTATGTTTGTATAGGACTATTATCCTTTAAAAACGATACATCCATTTACATGATAACTTAATTATTCAGTAGATTAACATCTGGATTTTAATGCAAGTCGGAATAATTAACGATATGAAATCAAGTCAAAGCAATGAATATCTGTCATTCAATCTTTAAGAATTGAATTTCTTCAGCAATCAAATTGAAGATATCATTATTAATGAAATAGAAATCGATCAACCATTGGGATCGGCATGCTAAGATATAACTCATCCTAGAATAAAACTATACAAAGGAGCTTATTGTTTTCTTTCCTTTTTCACGCAAACAATATATAAATAAAAATAATAAAAATAGGGATTACTCTGAAATTGTATGTGCTGTGTTTCTTATTTTAATATTCCCCGCTCTCTCATCAGGAGAATCCCAGACTTCCCGACTAACCGGATATGTCATCAGGTCGCTCAGTCCTATTGGATTGTGTGGTTGTTCTTACGAGTGTTATTCCTACACAGGTTGTAAATCATTTAATTTCAACATAATCCATTTATTCTGTGAATTATTTTATAAATCATGCTGAATCAAATATAGTAAAGGATCAAGAATCCGTTTATTTAGGGTAATCCGATCAACAGGTACATTTACCTTTTTATTTTGGCAGTTGAAGAAAGCTGCTCTGATTCCCAAGAAGATTGAATATTCTTGATTAAATTTTACTTATTGTTCATAAACTAATGATAACTAAAACATTTCAGCAAAGGGACACGTCCTGATAAACTTGAAAAACTCTATTTAAATCTCAAATTGTTAAGACGAGTTTTCAATTCAAAAGTTAAGCATTTTAAAGAATGTTTTAATTTTTACATTGAAATAGACTATTATGTATCTTATGTGTACTATAAATGTGCAATCAATGTGCTTTCTGATTTAAAAACGATTAACTCGAACATTTTAAATATTCATAGGAAAACACGTCAGTTTGTATGGGTAGAGGAAATAGGTGCATTCCTTTTCACAACAATCACCGTTCCAATCACATTTAAATTGCTTCCAGGACGATAGAATATCATGAAAATGTTCATTTTTGGGGAACAAAAGAAAGGGTGTCATATAATGAATAATTTCATAGTAGTCAATATTCTGCTTTTTGATTATAGTTTGTGGAGACGTTGAAATATGTAATGCAGGTTTTGCATTAAATTCTACATTCGTTGGTTCGAAAATAGCCTTGCAGCAAGCAGATGGGGACAAAGACAACACAGTCACTTATTATACAGTTAAAGTATATCACTGAGGGAGTTAGCAAGTTAGCAATCTTGCTAACTCCCGCAATGATACACTTTTAACTGTTTTATTATACCGGTACAAACGTAAAATTTAGAGGATTCAGATAGCGTGATTTCATAGCAGGGATTAGCTCACTGAACTAACACACGGGGATTAGTCCATTCACATATCATTCCAATGTAAAAGTAAAATCTAGAGGGTTAAGCAAAAGGACACTATAAAATATTTAAAAAATCATAAAATATTGTTATATTACAAGCTATTATTTCACTACTTCTCTTTTAAGTTATAATTTATTTTTATCTTATCCTGTGTTAAAATTGTCTTGCAATATTTTTCATTGAATTCTCATTATCAAATAAACTTGTTCATAAATGTGAAAGGTGAATATAACGAACAGTGACTAATCTCACTAATCCTGTTGCCTGTTTAATATTGTTACCCGCTTTGAATTGCACTTTAATCCCAAACTCTTGAAGCACGCCAGCTCACTTATATAATAAAGCTTAAATTTGTTATGGTTATTTATATTCTCCCTTTTTCAACGATGGAGTGTTTACTTAGGTTGGCGATAGTTGCAACTTGTGTATTGCTCCAGTCTCCACATTTAACTTGTAAGTATGTAGTTTTTTGAATTCATCTGTGACATAAGAAATGGTATTGCAAGGAAGCAGGTGGACAATGCAAGAATACCCCAGAAGTTAGATTTACCTCGCTTGAAAGTAAACTGCTGTTACTTTAAAGGTATTAAATATATTGGTTGTATTTTTTTTTTGTAAAAGACTTTAGAATAATTGTTTAATTATATAAAATACTATATACATATGCATTGATAGTAATAATAATGATAGGATTCATGATTTCTATAGTCTCCAAATTGCACAAGTTTTGCTTATTTGAATTGATAAGACGAATAATTTATTATAGACTATTTTTACTCCATATATTTCAAGTATATATTTAAAATATATTTATATATACTTGAAACTACTCTTCAATTTCATTAAAAAGACTGAAAAAGACTGGTTTTACCAGATTCATTAAACAAAAACATTCATTATAAAAAGTATTGTAGTAAACCATTTTTAGCTCACCTGAGCCAAAAGCTTTAGTGAGCTTTTCTGATCAAAATATGTCTGTTGTCTGACGTCTTTCTTGTTGTTGTCCATCTTATCGTCGTAAACTTTTCACATTTCCGTGTTCTTTTCAAGAACCATAGGGTCAAGTTCAATCAAACTTGGCGCAGAGTATTTTTGGGTGAAAGGAATTCAAGTTTATTTTTTTCAATAAGGGCCGTTTTCTCTTTCAAATGGAGATAATAAAGAAATAGTAAAAAATTATTGGTCATTTTGAATTTCTGCCCAAGAAATTCTTCACTGAAAGAGGAAAGATAAAACTCATGTGAAAGCTTCATGACAAGGTGTAGTTTCAAATTTGTTCAAATCATGACCCTCGGGAAAGGGTGAGGCAACTATAGGCAATTAAAGTTTTACATAGGAATACATAGGAGAAATCTTTAAAAAAATCTTTCTTCAAGAACAGCAAAGCAATGATGAATCATATTTTATGTTAAGACATCCTCAAATAGTGTCGATTCAATTTTTTTTCTTCAAATTATGATCCCCTGGATAGGGTGGCGCCGCAATATACAAACTTTAAATCTTAAAAAGAACAGCTAAGGCATGTAATTATAGTCATATGATATGGAACGTCTTCAGTTACTGTAGATTTAAGTTGTTCAAATATGACCTGCGGGGGAGGGTGGAACCAAATTTGGCAATCAAATTTTAATTAAAGAATATATAGGGGAAAAATTGAAAATCTTCTTCTCGTAAAGAGCAAAGCATGAATAGTCAAATCAATATTGATCCTTAGGCAGTGTAGATTCAATTAAGTATGCTCAAACAATGACACGCGGGAGTAAAGTGGGGCCACATTGGGAGGTCAAAGTTTTACATGTGGACATGTAGGGGAAACAATCTTTCAAAGTCTTCTTCTTAACAACAGCAAAGCTATGATTACAAACAATAATAAGGTATTGTAGATTCAATTTTGTTCAAATCATGACCCCTGGGTTAGAGTTGAGCCACAATATGTGATCTAAGTTTTACAAAAGAATATAAAGGAAAAATAATTTACTGATGAAGAATGGAGGGGCAAAAGCTACTCAGGTGAGCGTTTTTGCCCAAGGGCATCTTGTTTTACTTTATTGCGCAGTTGTATACACAGATGTATTAATACGTGATTTTTTAAGTGCAGACATGCTTTTTATCTTTTCTTTCTCAGCATCGCCATAAAATGATATAAAATAAAAAGTTTATATTTAAAAATATCCCACGATCTGAATTATGTAACTCATGCGGTTTTTCAAAACGGTTCATTTATTAAGTACAAATTTATGCATTAATGCATTAATGCATGTCTCAAAGAGAATAAATTTATTAAAATTATACTGTTTTCTAGACACGCTTATAAAATAATGTAGAGAGCCCCATTCTCCGATACTGTAATCGGTGATAAAGTTCCCATTTCATTTCTTCAGCAACTGTTATTCACTTGATATTTCTTTTCAGATTTCAAACAATTTATTTTCATGTTTCGTTGCTTCATCTTTGCAAATAAAGGTATGCTGAAAGTCGGTAACAGCTGATTAGAGTTATTTATAAATATGAAAGACGCAACTAGATACTGCTTCTAAGCTTAGCGCACGATTACAAAACATTGCGTCGATAAAAAATTAAGATATACATCAAATCATTTTACTGTATGGAATTACAGAATGTTCGCAATCAGTCATATCTCCTTTTATAAATTACAAAACTAATGTGTTTATTTTTGCAATTCTCATTTTAACTTAGCAACCATTATTAATGAAAATGGTTAAAATAAGGAAAAATGATCGATCGCAAATATCCATACAACATTACAAACTGTGAACATAGGCTGGCGCTTAATCAGTCAGTTGGCTAGACGGAGTAAGTACTCCCCACCCCTGTAGATCTGTACATCACACCTACAACAAAACTTGAATCCTTTCGAAAAATGCAATTTTAAGCCACATTAAAAGTAATCAGTGCCTAAAAGTACATTTACGTATTGTAAATTTAATTAAAAAAAAAGAGAAGTGAAAAAAAAAACTATAATTAACAGACTTGGTTTTAGTTGAAAATGTGATGTTTTGCTAACTATTGATATTATTAAATTTTACTTCTGAATAGTCACAAGTTATTGATATGTTATATGGATCTATAGAAGAAAACTTTGAAATTAACAACTAATATTTCATTTGTAATTACATTTTGGTCATAAATAACAGAACTTGAGTGTAAATAGTGTCACGCAAGGGTAATGAATTTTAAATTTCTTTACACAACACAAAAAATAAGGGTTAGCAAAACATATTAAGGTATGACACTCGTCGGCTTTTTAAAAACGTTCAGGCGGAACATCTAACTTCAGAACTATTTATTACAATTCGTTTATTTTCTAAATATTTGAATCAAACAATGCAATTTTTACAATAACTTTAAAAACTAACATTACTCACAAAATCATAAAGAAACAAGATTTATGGAGAACTTTTTCCTGTGGTGGAAGGATATTTAATAGAAAATTTTTCAAATCTACACATTTCTTGGAACTTCAGCACTAAATATTTCTACTCTGAGATTTTTTTCCGTTTTTATATGCTTGGATTATTAATTTTAAGTTTTAAATAATATTTTTAGAACATTCACTCAACAGAATTGCCAAGAATGTAGATATATTGAAGAAGTCAAGATAAAATTACATTGATTTTTCCCTAAAAATTGCATATTTTGTCCATATATCTCAAACTTTACTCCACTGGCCCCAACTATTTCTTTCCTCATTTTAATATGCGCGATACTTTCAACCGATCATCCCTTGGTCATAAAAAGTTTGATACAAGAAAATATCTTATTGCCTATTTAGATTTTTAGAACCCTAAATATGAAACTTTTTAATTGCAAAAAGGTCACACAATAATCTATGTGCATTTTAAAATTTGCCAGATTTGTTCAATGATAAATATTATTCAAACTATTTTACGTAAAATAAGATTATATTTATTGGCATGAATACATCCGTTTAAATATGATAAGGGTTAAATTGAATAACCTAAGAGTTACAATTTAAGTGCAAAAAGGTCAAGTTAATTTTACCTTTGCTCAGTAAGATGCACACTGACCCAAAATTTTCTTTGCGGTTTTGTGTAATGCTAAATGAGAAATTATTTAAAATATACTTTTCAAAAAATCCTTGATATACCTAAGTCACGAGTGACATACCTTAAACGTAGTATAGATTAAAAGATTAAACATACATAGTAAATCATGGGGAAAACATGAAAAATATTTTAAATAATTTCATTTAAAGAAAGGAGATGGGGGTAAAATATATTCATTACAATTTGTTAAATATGAAATGTTTGTGTACTCATGATTACTTTTAATTTTTAATTACTCATGATTACTCATTATAACGTTCAGTTTGACCATGTTGAGGTTTTTTAAAAAATGTTTCAGTCAGAATGATAAAATTTGTTTTAATTTTATAAACTTTTTCATTATTTATCTTAAAAACATTAATGAAAAGAACACTACTTGTAGTTGATGAGAGAATAAAAATAGCTAAGATTAAAACATGTTTTTTGCCATGCAGAGGGACTTTCCTTTAACTTTAGTTAAGTTCTGTCTAAGACAGAAAGCAAGGCGGAAAAAAATCTACAATGATTTTTCAGGAGAGAGAGAAACTTTGCAAAAAGTTCGATTTGTGTTAAAGTCAGGTATTCTCTAAGGATATTATATGTTGAAAAGATATAATTTCTTTCCTGTGATGTTTAAGAAGCGTGTAAAATTTAATTCTATGTGTCAAGATTTTGGTTTTGTTGGGAGAGAAAAAAACTTCATTAAATTGTCTTAAGAGGGCTGGGTGGTCGTGACCATTTTTAGACTATATTGATCTCATTTAGAAGAAGAGCTCCATATAAAGATATACAAAAATGATCAAATTTTAAAACTAAAATGTATGATTTTTTTCTTTGCCAAATGATAGTTGACAGCTTAAGATATCATATCTAAAAAAAAATAAGTTATATCTGATGGTTAATTTGTTGACCTCCCAGCCTCCTTAAGTTACTTCAGTTAGTGATAATACGCTCTAACACTTTAACATTTTCTAACTTACAACTTGTAATCAAACAATACTTTAATACTTATATATTATACAAACAAAAATTGTTGTAAACTTGCAGATACTACTAAGATATCTATTAACACTGTTATTCAAAGTTAAGCACACCCTAGGCACATGGTTTTGCGGTTGTGTAAATATTCGTCCCTCTTTTACCACAGAAAACTGATATACGATATTTCTACACAAATATACTACATTTAGATAGACAATTTGGTAGATCAGTTTTTATTTTATTCAGCAGTGCTGCTTTGGTTGATTAAAAAATCTTACGTAAAATTTTATCAAAATGTTCAGATCGTTTTATTATCACTAACGAACATAAGAGATAAGTCCTTCGGATGAGACCGCATAAACCGAGGTTCCATGTCACAGTAGGTGCTGTCACGAAATAGACCCCTCACTGCTCAATGGCCGTAAGTAAGGAGTATAAGTCTAAATTTGCAGCCCTTCACCGGCAAGTGGTGGCGTATCCATAGGAGTGAAAATTCTTTAGAGGGGTGTTAACCAACCAACCAACAAACAAACACGATGACACCACATAAAACAGAAATTTAAAATGATACAGAGAATATATACTAGCTGAATGATGAATCCTTAAAAAGTTAACCTTACAAACATTTTTTTAAATCAGACTTTTTCCGTAAGAGAAAACTGATACTCCTACACTTTTGAAGTGATTACAAGAAAATAATAAATATTCAAACAAATTGAGCTTAAGTTTTAACATAGGCTTTATTTGGATAGGGATTAAATAGGCTTAGTCTGCTGTCCAACCCCATTAAGAGAGGCAGCAACCAGTCGACATTGGATACCTACTCGTCCTAGGCATCTGATCCCACCTCTTGTGTTTCATTTGATCCTTGTTTTAGTCCTGCTTTATTATTTACAATATTAAGATCACTGTTCGTTATCTTTACCAATTTTCATTAAGATCAGAGAACTACTTTTGTGAGTAAACGATTTGAAACTTTGCGTCCTATATCATAAAACCTGTTTGAATCAAGTTCAGCCCCTTATAACATTTATTTAATATGAAAAAAATTCCTTGTTGATAGAAGTTGGTAACAATTTAATAGCTGTTTGAACAATGTCCATACATACACTACACAACATACTTTTGTATCGAATTGTGTTTTGTTTATTTCAGTGGGACAAGGTGGAGGGTTAATAGAAATAACGTCAGGAAACCTGCTTGTAATAACTGGAAAAGCCAGTGCGAGGATTCAATGTTTAGCAAGAGGAGACGGAAGGGAAGAAGTAAATTTAAAGTGGTATGGTCCCGATGGACATTACATAGGTTCAAACTTCCTAAACAGGTGTGTCTGAATAAATATTTAAATTTTCTAATTTCGGCAGTTATATGACTGAATATACAATGTTATTTTTTGTTCTTAATTACATCAATAAGATCTTATCAATTGTATATTTTTGTTAATAAAGTTAACAAAGTTTAAGGATTTTTTCAGTTTGATTTTAGATTCAAGAAGTGTATTTTTAACATTTAAGCTTTTGATTTAACAAACGTATATAATATTAAAATGTAATGTTTAGAGTATATCAACTTAATTTTTTGTCTTTATTTACAGAGTATTTACTCAAAGTCTTGCAAAAAGCTCTCTGTCACTTATTTTCAAAAGTACCTTAGAGCAGGATTCTGGAGAGTATACTTGCAGTGGAACAATAGATGAAAAACTAAAGAGTGCAAAAATTTCAGTCCATATCGATATGCCCCTTGAAATTACAGAAGAAATGGCACCTAGGTCGCAAACACTTAAAGTGGACACCCCAGGTTTGATTAAGTGCACTGCCCCTGAGGGATATAGAATACTCTGGATAAGGGATGGCAATTCAATAAGTCAAGGTAACTGTTTAAATAGACAATGTTTTTTCCATAGATACTAATAATTTAATCCTAACTGTGAAACAATGCATGTTTTAAATAGCAAGTTTTGAAATGAAATTTTTATAGTGTTTACAAAATAATTTAAAAAAAAAAATTAAAAGGCTAATATAGTTTCAATTATATATAATTTGTTCCAGTGTTTCTGTCGAAGGTGAAGGACGCATGGCATGGATTTGATTTGATAGGATTTCTTCAGTACATTATATGTAAAATTTGTGTGTATGGAAGTTTCGTCTTATTAATATATTTTATTTTCTTTAAATCTGTTTATCTTAGCAGTCATATATTTTACTTATTTACATAAAATCAAAATCCATAAATAATCTTTAAGTAATAAAATCCTTCTCTTCTTAAGTTTTGACTTAACAGAAGACTTCGTCAAAACAACTTTAAGAGTTTCTTGGTGAAAACATGTTTCTTTTATTAATGACAACACTTGTTTTTTAGAGAAGTCTATGAGTTAGAGTTAAAATTATGAAAAAAAGAAGAGTTAATTTTAATTGTTAGCTTTTTTGTGCATCAACAACACAATTTGACAAAATGATTTCCTGATATTAACTCATTTAATAAAAATCAAATGACAAAAGTTTTCGATAAAAAGAATTTATAATGTTATTTCATAATCTTAGAACATCCACGATATTCTCAAGTGACAGATGGACTTGAAGTCAGCAAAGTAAACCGCAGTTTGGATGAGGGGACTTTTTATTGCACGGTGTTTGGAACTGGAGTTGCTTCATCTAAAAGAACAGTTATTCACATAAAAGTAAGAGTGATAGGTAGGTATAAAGTAGGTAAAGGAAGATAAAGAAGAAAAAATATTAACGTTTCATCACTTATGCACAAGACCTGCAACTGATTATCATGCTGGATTTCGACTGGTACTTTTTACTATAGTACTTCATAAGTTTTTTGTTAGTTGTACTATTTATCTTTATTGTGCACCCTGACACATTAAAATGGAATAATTGTCAGTAATAATCAAGCACCTCCCTTTCACATTTTAGATCACCTGAGTCACTCGGTATTATTATCTGTTTTCGTCTATCGTCGTTTGCCGTTCATTGAATATGATATATATATATATATATATATATATATATATATATATATATATATATATATATATATATATATATATATATATATATATATATATATATATATATATATATATATATATATATATATATATATATATATATATATTTTTAGGGTCTTTTCTGGAACCACTGAACTAATTTCAACCAATTTTGGCATATCGGGTTTATGTGTTTTTACCTCCCTGGGGTCTGAGAGCTAGGGCTAAGACCATCAACATTAATTCAATCTGTACAAAATTTCTTCACTCATGACATCAAGCTGTCAATCTGTTGGCATGATTGTAATAAGCATTGACTCCTCTGCCAAAATTGTGAAATTCATGGCCCCAGGGTTATTGGGTGTGGAATTAGAGTGATGTTCTATTGATCATACTGTGAAAATGCATGAATTCTTTTTTATCATCCTTTGTATGTTGTGGAATCAATATTGTTCCTGGGGGACCAATGTTCGTGGATTTCATCGGTCACCCTTACCCACGACTTTACATTCCAACGAACAATTATTCTGTTAAAATCTTTATTTATTCATATTTTTTAATGGTCACATAGACTTTAGAAAAATAGATAAATAAAATTAAGAATCTTTAATATATAATACAAAAAGTAAATTAATAGTTTTTAGTTGTCACATAGACTTTAAAACAGATAAATAAAAATGAGAAAAGTTCCTTTTTTACATAAAATGTTATTCAAAGGGCAAGGGAGACCAAAATAAGAGAGAATGTGGGAGGTTAAAGAAATATTTTGTAGCACTATTGTTAGGATTATTTTTGGTGATAGTGTCTAACACTTCAAGAACTAGTAAGGAAATAAACCTATGTTCTTATTTGCTGAATACAAGATTAATTGTTTTATTCATCCCCGAACTGAAATGTTCGGGAAAAATATTCAGAATCAATAATATTTAAGCAGATGATAATGGTGAATTTTTTAAATGCTTTTTTATGAAAATTAAAAAGAAATATCACTTAATATATACAGTTTGTTTGTAATCTGGAAATCAAATTGGAACTGGACTGACCGTTTCCTTCTATGAAATATGGATATAACGAACAGTATTCAAGCTCCAAATCCATCAAAACAATATTAATTGGGAGCCGAGCAAACATGGACCTCCAAATACATCAGAGGTGGGAATAGGTGGCACAGAGGAGTCAGCATCCCCTGCCAATCGGTCACACCCGCGCCGTATGCTCCTTGTCATGATCGGGAAATAACGGACAAATCCGTCGACAATTCAGTGTGTAAATAATGGCCTAACAATTGATATGAAAAACGTTAGTAAGCATATGACTTAATGATAAATTGTATTTACTGACAAGGTCATTTATCGACCATAGAACTTACGAAATGTTGATTTCAAACGAGACTGTTGATGCTCTTGTTTCATCAACTTGTTTGTCAATAACTTACCTCTTTTGAGAAAGTGTTTTTGCGTATCGAATCAACTGAGAGATATACACCCCATATGCAGGTGATGAGGATTGCTGCACAAGTAAGGGAAGTTGACTCACTGTCGACATATGAATGGAAATAACTATTGTTAATTGATAATACGTCGTCGATATGTCTAAATGTCGAGTTGAAGGCCACAGCAAGAGATTTCTTTCTCTCATGTATAAGATTTTGAATAAATTCTGCTTTATATGAATACAAATATAGGTCTGCTAACAATGGGGCGCAATAAGTTCCCATGGGACTTCCAACAGATTGTTGGAAGACCTGGACAATCAGAATTTTTTTAACAAAATAATTTTGCAAATAAGTGACCAATGAAAAGGTAAGTAAATGTACAAGGTCCATTTTTAATGAAATAACAGTTGTCAATGATGTCAAAATTTATCGTGGGGAATGGTTGTATATAGAATAAAGTTTTTGTGTTACTGATTTTGGGTAAAAAAATTATTTCAAATTGACCAAAAGTTCTTTGGAATTTTTAAGTATCCATATTTGATTTACGCTACTTCTCGAATATATTGTTGCACAGTATTTCTGAAGTTTCTCCTTCACTGCTGTTGATATTTGATGAGGAGTAAAGAAAGAGGCTTGGAAGAACATTAACTGGAACCCTCTATGTATCTTTGTTTGTAAGGATTTTTATGACGTTCAAATCCAATATAGATATGGAAAATCAAATTCAATTTAGTTGTTGGGAATATTAAAAATATAAAAACTGACATATTTTGAAGAATTTTCTCCTTAGAAAAGGAGCTATGGGTATAGGTTGGATTTCCACTTGTAGAATTCAATCCCAGTTCTTAAATAAAATTAAATGAGCTTCACAAACAAAAATAATGTTGTTACCTGCTTTGTCAGCTGGGACCAGTACATACTGATCGTGTCGTCTATCTTATTCTTTTTTCACTTCTGAATTTTTGAACACAGAAGGATAGACGCTCTTTATTTTGCCCATAAACTGCTTAATGCGAGATTTAACAAACATCTGATGCATTAAATGTATTCTGACAAAGTGTCAAGATCTTGTTTTTCATATCTTGCCCATCGCCTGGCGTATTCTTCCCCAGAATTCATAATATTTATGAAATTATGATTCCAGTTAAAATATTGCGGTTACCCGAGATTCTTAATTTTTTTTCAATATAGTCGTTTATCTTTAGGAATTTACCCATAAAATACGCTTTACAAATATTTCGCATCTTTCTAATTTCCTTAAATATGGTAAATATAAAGCGTACCATTTTGTGATGAAATGGATTATTTTAAGAAACTCAAGCTTTATAATTTATTTGCCAATAGCCTTAGTCTAAAATGCATCTTAATTTTTTTTTCAAATAAATAGATATATTTACAGAAAGACGTGCCTTATTTGATTGTCGGCAACAACATTGGAACTCTTACATTGCGCATTTGGTTCCAGTCTTTGGCAACTTTTTCAACTCTTCAAAGTCTTTTTTTTAATTTAAGTATTTTGGATTTCTAACTTTTCGGCATGAACATCTCTGAAGAGACATAATTTGTTGAAATGCATCAAAATTGGTACCATATATGATTTCCATTATACAAGAAACAAAGTATGCATTATTTTTCAATGAATTTAATTATATTTCCGAGCTATACTTATACAAATAATAGTCAATGGAAAAGATATATTATCTGTGAAAGACAATTATGAAATATAGACAAATTAAAATTGCTTCAAGAAGCATATATAGCATGTTCAATGACAAATTTCTGCCAATTTAAGACATTAAACTTTTATTTTTCATTTTTGTTTTACCGAACTTAAAGCTTTTAAATTCCCAAGTAATAATAATTATGTTTTCATCTCTTTACAACTTAGAGGAAAATATAGCTCGTTATGACCCCCCCCCCCCAACAATAAAGTTTGAAATTTTTGAAAATAAAATTTTTTAGTAACTATCACCGCCACAATACCACAACGTGATTATCACCATAATGAATAAAATACGGAGATAACAAGTCATCAAGTCCAAAAGTCCATAGAAACGATGGTGCAAACACGGACCTCTAAAGCGTCAGAGGTGGGATCAGGTGCCATGGAGGAGTAAGCATCCCCTGTCGACCGGTCACGCCCGCCGTGTGCTCTCTGTCATGATCGGGCAAACGGAAAAATCCTTTGACTATTCAGTGTGTAAATAATTGTCTAACAATTGGTATGAAAAACGTCAGTCAGCATTTGGCTCAATGATAGATTCTACTTGCTGACTAGGTCAGTGTATCGACCATAGAACTTGCGAAATGATGACTTTAAACAAGACTGTTGAATGTGATTTTTACGATAGCGACTTGAATTACCATTTTTAGTTTCTGTTATATATGTTTATGTTTATGCATGACAAAAAATTCACCATTGTGTAGATTGTATCTTATCTAAATGACTATATCCTTAGAAATCAAACGTGAAAGTTCCTATAAGCCATTCATATTGCTATTCAGAGGAGTAATATTCCTTACACAATCGCTTTGGGAAAATAACACTTACTGAAATGCTGTGAAGTATGATTTGTGTCAACAGAATAAATAAAAAAATAGAAATTAATGATTTTGATAGGTCCTCCAAACATAATAACTCCTCCAAGTGCAGGACAGATTGTGGAGGGAAATGACTACCGTTTCGTGTGCAAGGCTTCAGGAGAGCCCTCTCCACAGTATCAATGGTTTAAGGTGATTATTGCTCATATTCTTATTGGCATATAAAAGGCAAAAAAATACTAAATAAATTGTTACGGGTACCTCTACCTACCTACGAGTTGTCATAAACATTGAAATTCAATAACATTTACCATTTGGTAAATCTAAATTGACCATAAATTCGCATTCATCAAATATTACGTCAAATATGTGTTCATGTACTTTTAAATTACTCGTCAGAGTATTAACATTCTTCAGTAAAGAGTAAGAGCCACTTAGGGCCTTTTTTGGCCCTGTGAATTTCTGAAAATTCAAAACTGTAAGCTTTAGTCAAAAAGGCAATAAATAATACTTGAGCACTTGGTAAATGAATATCTACTGAAAATGACGTAATTTTCTTTCTAGTCGATGCATTATGACGTCATGAATTGCGTCATTAATCACATACCCTGAATATTTCTTCAAAAATTGCCAAAATATGATGCCATTTTTCAATATTTCGTATACAGCACAACCTCCGATCCAAAATGTGTGAAAATGTTATAAAAGAACTGTTAAAGAAAATTATAAAACATATTTTAATTTTTGGATCGAGGGGTGTGCTCCTATTTTAATTCTTTGCTGAAGGTTCTCAAAAACACCTGTTTTCTGCAAAATTCAATAACATTGCAATTTCACATAACCTGTTTTTCAATATATGGACTCTTCAAAGGAAATTATGTATATAAACTGAAAGCACTAAGTCTCTACTTTATATTAATTTTGAAAATGGTACACGGGGTATAAGTCATTAAATTGGTATATCTACAGGGCCATTTTATGCATAAAGTGAACCTAGCTCTTTAGCTGACACAATTCTTGACTGCCTTCTTTTTGTTTGTATTGTCAGATTAGTTATTCGTCATAAAAGCACGGGTGTTTTGTTTTTCTTGAACCTCGGGATTTTTTCAATCATTACAATAATTATTCACACAATTTTTTTTTGTGCTAAATTGTAGAAACTGCACATAGTGAATGTATAGTGAAACGGTAAAATTCCAATTTGCTATTACATGCACTTTACATTAAATATTAAAGGTCATAAATTATGATATTTTTAGGATGAGAGTAGTAATGAACTAGTGGGAGAAAGGTTTGAGGTTGACAATCAGACAGGAGTATTGATCATTAAACAATCGAAGAAGTATGACGAAGGGTTGTACAGATGTGAGGCCAGGAATGAAGCTGGCGTGGACAATGCAACAGCACTACTCATTGTCAAAAGTAAGTCAAAACTTAACAATGCAGAAAATGATAAGCGTGAAAATGAAAATGGATTATATTTGGAAGTCTCAATATCAACCTCTTATAGAAGCGGGATAAAAGATGACGTAGTTTAACATTTTCAAGATTTCTTGTCGATTAAAATTGAGGTGCACCTGACCATATCCTTTCCACAGGTCTAGATCTTGACTATGATTATGGGAAAAACCTGACGTCAAATACATCTAGCTGTCAACAGGTGCTTGATGACCTATGTTCTCCAACATTACTCAGCCAGTCTGTGAAAAGAAGCTTGGACATGTTAAAGAAGGATTTATTGCGACTGGAGATAAAGAAGACTGAGGCCGAGATAAAAGTTCTTGAAGTACAGAAACTAAAATTTCAGGAGGAAATTGAATTGTTAAGGCTTCAAAAAGAAAAGTTGCGGGGATAAATGAATAAATAATAAATTCTCGTATGTGTTTCTTTGTGGTTCGACCATATGACTCTACAAGTGTACCATCTTTACATTCTTTGCGTATATGTAAAACTTGTTAATAAATGAAATTTTAATAAAAGGTCTACTGCATGAAATTTAAACTCAAAGAAGATCCGATAAATGTATGCATATACCTTTATTATAACACTTCTTTCCAAGCCCTGTCTTCTCGTTCGACCTGCCGCGTCAAATCTAAGACGTTAAAATAGGTAGTGACTGCTCCTTTGCCAAGCGCCCGTTACTAGAAGTGAGAGTCACGGGTTTTTCGGATGAGTCCTTAAAATCCGAAGCCCCATGTCACGGTAGGCGTTTACACGATAAAGAATCCTCACTGCTCAATGGCCCTGAGTGCCGAGTTTAGGTCTAAATATGTAGCCTTTCACCTGCAATATAAGTCCTAGGCCAAGAAATAAGTAGATATTTAATCTGGACATTTGCGTTTGACCCGTATCTGTCAGAAGCAGTTGTAAATATTAGGTTTTAGTAACAGGAACTGGTTTTGCTCCTCACTATGGCATGTCAAACGCTGCAATATTCGATCTTTTCCATTTGCATTGTATAACTTTCCATTTGTATTGTATTATGATAATGTTTATTTGTATTCTATAATTTTCCATTTTTATTCTATACTTTCTCATTTGTATTGCATAATTTTCCATTTGTATTGTATAATTTTTCATTTGTATTGTATAAATTTTCATTTGTATTATATAATTTTTATTTGTATCGTATAATTTTCCATTTGTATTGTATAATTTTTCATTTCTATTCTATAATTTTTCGGTTGTATTGTATGATTTTTATTTGAATTGTAAAATTTTTCATTTGTATTGTATAATTTTTCATTTGTATTCTATAAATTTCCATTTGTATTTTTTTTTTTTTTTTTTTTTTTTTTATAAATTTCCATTTATATTGTATAATTTTACAATAAAATGGAAAAGCATACAATACAAATTGAAAATTATACAATACAAATGGAAAATTATGCAATACAAATTAAAATTATACAATACAAATAAAAAATTATACAACACAAATAAAAAAAAAATATACAATACAAATGAAGAATTATTAAATACAAATACAAAATTTACAGTACAAGTGAAAAAAATATAGAATGCAAATAAAATTTTTACAATGCAAATGAAAAATTATAGAATGCAAATGGAAAATTTTACAATACAAATGGAAAAGTATACAATACAAATGAAAAATATACAATACAAATGGGAAAGATCAAATATTGCAACGTTTAACATGCCATACCTCACATCGTTTAATTACTAGGATAGTATAGCACTCATTTTTATGCCATGCAAATGAAATAAATATCAACAGCATAAATACATGTTAATAAACTTTAAATATGGGAAAAACACTGGCATAAACGCATTAAGGTAATTACCACTAAATACACGAAAAGAATGCATGAAATATGAAGATAACGAACAGTATTCAATCTCGATACAAAGAAACGATACAAATTTGAAGCAGAGCAAACACGGATCTTAAAATTTAGAGGTGGGATCAGGTGCCATGGAGAAGTGAGCATCCCTTGCCGACCGGTCACACCCGCCGTGCATAAATAATTTTCCTTGTGTGAATGCTATGACAGTTAATTTTTCATTGAGCATAAACAGATCATGCATGTATCGAGAAAATAACACTCACACAATTGGTTACCGCTACTGATTCCCGTGGTCAACGACACGCGTGAGTATCCACTTACAGTTTAACCATAATTTATATTCTTCTGATTAAAACATTGTTATTGTTCGTGATTGTATAAACATGACATACATGTGTTACAAAAAGTGTTGCACATTTTTATCAACCTTTTTTTTCAGCATAACATTTTTTACTTAATATGTCAATGGGATATTTGTCAGGTAATTAGCCAATATTAAAAGACATATGCTGAGTCATAGAAATTTATTCACATTAACTGTATCTTTTGTGTAGATTAAAAAATATGTGTAGGGTCATGTTTTTTTTTTAAAATCACCCTTATGTTAACTTTTGATGTCAACCAAAACTTGTGTTGTAACCAATTAATGGCCGACAACTTTCGGGCCAGACCAGGATTATAAAATCAGGCCAGGTTTTATGGTACACCATTGCGTTATCTGATGGCAGACAGAGTTTACCTTAATTGATTGCAGATTTATTTCTGGTACACGATAAAACAATTAACGCATATCCTAACCAATTATTCTTGCAATAAAAAACTGAATGTTTATCCAAGATCCTTTACAAATAAGCCTGTTTAGCTGACCAGGAAAAACCACAACGTGGAAGGCTGGGACAAACCTAAAGTGCTACACCATTTTCTAAAAAAGCACGGAAAAACAGTAGTGAGTATGAAGACTTTCATAACATTCTGATGCAATAGTTAATACATTAGTGGGTGCCTAAAAACAGAAATTATGTAAAAATTTGTAGAATGTATCTGTTCTTCTAAAGTGCTCGTTAAATCACTTGTCAGTCATTTTCTTCCATGTTCACAAGAATCATTACAAAGTGTTCTTGACGGGAAACAATAATCATGATAATAAAGGTAGAAAATAGACATGGTTTGGTTAAAACTAAAACGCATTCCCATATGAAAAAAAGGATTTCAAAAACTGTCAAGGATGGAAGACAATATAATCTTTATTTCGTAATCTATTCTGTATTTAATGATATTTCTGGCATTTAGGCCTTTGTTGTTATACCTGATCAATACTTAGGGCTCACTGCGAGTTTGATCTGACGACAAGGGGTGCTTGCTCCTTCTATTCCTCTTATCCTACCTCTGAAATTTCCGGGGGTTACAGTTTTGTTTTGTTTGTGAACTTTTTTTTAGATCGATCACTGTTCGTTATTTTCACCTTTTTCATTATATATCGAAACAGCATTCAGATACAGAAAGCACTTCTTGTATCAGATTAAACAGAGACCACGTTTCCTGATAATTGACAGTTGACAGAGCCCATTTTAATTGAACATAGATGCAAGGTTTTCTCTAATTCACGAAAATACGACAAATTCCTAGTGACGTCCTAAACAATTGGTTTGGAAATATGATATAAACCTGATCTTTATGAATCTGCAGTCTTTTGAATCTTTTACGAAATAAGCCTTCTTAGCGCATCTGGCTGTTGTGGAATAGTACTTTTTTGTATAAACTTCATAGTTATTTTTTGGATGACAAATCAACAGATTTGAAAATTTTCGAGTTCCGTTTTTATTGAAAAAGAAGTTGTTTATGATATTGAAAAACCAAGGTTTAATTTATCGAAAGGAATGAATGGCGATATAAAGTGTAGAAACATCGTACGTTTTGATGTTATAGGTGTTTGAAACATTTGGTGGTTTTAATTTATTAATATTTCTTTAGTTTTTGAGGATTTACATTTGATTTGCTCTACTTCTACAATATGCTGTAGCACAGTATGTCTGACGTTTCTCCTTAACAGCAGTTAATATTTTGGCAAGAAGTAAAGATAGGGCTTGGCAGAGTATTTGTTGGACTTATAAACATATCTTTGTTCGTAAGTAAATGAATTTAAAAACACAGGTTTTTAATAAAACAAAAATTTTCTCTAAAAGAAAGTAATATGCCTAAAATGTGTAATTCTTTCACGAATATAACATATTTATGACAAATAATGTCTGAATTTGATATTCAAGCGGTCGTTTTCATTTGCATTATATGATAACCACTATAATTAATACTAAGGATATTAAGTGCTATAACATTAATGAATCAGTCTCCATATGTGAGCTAAAAGTCTGAAATCCGTAAATAACATACAAAACTAAGGTAGTTCGGACAAAATGTTTCTAACTGTAACCTGTACACACAGCAAAATTGTTCTTTATTTTTTTTGGTACATCTCTCCTGACATTGCAAGATGCAAATCCTGTAAAGTGTGATTAGAAAATTTTTATTCGTTGAAAATGAATCAGAAGTGTTAATATAGTTGTCCGTTTACAAAAAATGAAAGAATTCAATATATTTTTCTAATCTTAAAATGATTGAATGCATATGTACGGGTTTACGCACGTGCAGGGGAAAACACGAATTCTCACACCCAGCTTAAACAAATAATCTGATAATAAGAAACAAAAAAGACCCATCTATCAGCATCTCTTACAAACATGTTAAGCTCACCTTATAATAGAAGTAATGAAGATACTTTTATTATGCTTTTACAAAGATTATATTACAATGATATCATTTGTCACTTAAAATATATCAAGAGAAAAATACTTTTGTTACTTTTCAGATAAGAGCGACATTATAGTGTTTGTTTGCTGCGTTGCATCTAAAATATTTTTGAAAGGGATAATGAAGGTTTTAGTTACGTTGTAAGAAAACACAAGGTTTTTGTAGAAAGCAATATGTAAAGTCAAGTGACTACAAATTTCTTTATTTATTATTATACATTCTATCCTATTTGTTACTGTGTGACTTTAAAAACATTTCATTTGCTAGGTGGATAAGAATCTGAGTCTCGGTTTGATATCCTGAGTGATTAATCTGAACTTGAAAAAACTTAAGAACCTTTCCAAAAATATATTATAAATGACAACAGATTTTATCTTCTATGACATATATATATATATATATCTAAAGTATATTATTTAATAATATACTAACATTTTTTTTAAATTTTAGATTATATTTTAAAACTGTATAAAGGAAAGAAAAATAATAATCCTTCAAAAACCAAAAAGTATTATTTTTTATCTAAATCATATTCGTGTATAAAAAGACTGCTATTGGATACATATCTTCCAGTACCAAGTCAATTCTTTGGAGCAAATACAAAAAACCCATTTTTTTAAAAATGTGTCTATAGAGAGCGCCTGTGCATGTGATTTAATAATAGGTCTGCAATTAGATACATAAGCGACATTGCCTTTCCAGTAAAAGGCACGCCTCCTGTTTTTCTACGTCAATACGCCCTTTCATTTGTGCAATAAATAAGTAAAATGCAACATAAAACATTCATTGCATTTGTGAATCAAAGACAAGGTATGGTAACGCCCAAATATGACCCTTTATTTTAGTGGTTATCATATAATAGAATGAAAACCGGTTAAAGTTAGGATAGTTGGCAATTAAAAGCGTTGAATTATGATGGTTTTAAAAGTAGCATACTTAAACGGAGGCAAAAGAAAACAATTTAGAACCTTGTACAATGTTCATCAAGCGCGATGGAAGTTATTCCTAATTAAGACCCTTACATTCTAAAAACGTATTTTCATAGAAAATATTTACTGTGAAACTACTTTTATTCGTGTGCGAAAAATTTTCGGAAGTTTAGCTATCTTCCTTATATATGTACAGTGTAATAATATTTCGCTATCACCTGTATATGGTGCTTGTATCTCCCAATTAAATCAATACGCATGAGCATGCTCCGAGTACTGTTATATTTGAACCGAGGCAGGGTAATGACAGATAAGCTGATGTTACAGGGATTTCAACAACCTCATTTAAAGTCAGCATTTCGTAAAATGACTTGTTTAGCAAAGTTAGTCCATTTTATTTTGTCTGACATGTTTCATACCAATTGTTAAACCTTTGTTTTTATGCTGAATTCGCCTACAGAAAGACCCGTCTATCTGATCAATATCTGGAGCTCTCGGAGCGTTTGACCGGTCAATGGGGGATGCACACTCTTCCAAGGCATTTGATCCCGCCTCTGGAATTTCCGTGAGTCCGTGTGCCCTGTTCAAAGATTTGTATTGTTTACAGATATTTTTTGAAACTCATCACTGTTTGTTACATGTACCTTCATCTTTTATGCTTTGTATTGCTTGCGAATATTATTCGAATTCGCCACTAAGTATTGAATTAATTTTGTATTATTGAAGAAAAAAATTTCATTCGCGTAAATTAGTCGCCATTGATAGATTTTGAAGTTACCAATCTCGAGTAAAAGTTGTTGCGAATAACTGTTGGTTTACAATTTCTGAGAATAGTGTAGGAAATATATAAAAAAAAAATATATATATGAAAAATTATCTCATTTTAAAAAATGAGGTTTTGAACACGTTCAAATGTCCTAAGAAGCCCTTCTTGCTTCATAGAACTGTAATCTATGGACCAACCCACTTAGTTATCCAGTGAAGTTTGAAATGACGTTATTTTCCTATCAATTTTTGAGAACGTAGAAGAAGGCTAGCTAAAAGTCTGTCGGAAAAAAAAAATTTAAATAGTGAAGAATCATTATACTCAACAGTTTTAGCAGAAAAGATTTTCTTGCATCCAGGTAAGAGAGAGAAGACACAATGATTACAGTGGATTATAAACTTTTGATTATTATACTTGCATCTTGTTTTCCTTCAAATGCTTATTCTCTGTTGACTGAAAATAATGAGACAAAAGTCAAGGACGTTGATATACTGCGACAATTGTTGAACCAGGAGTCTTTATTCAGAATAGCTCTGACCAAAGACGTCGAGAACATCAAACAATACCTTTTACTAAAACAAGAAGATGCAAACCAGGAAAATGTCATTTCAGAAGGTCGTCATGCATCGGAAGAGAGGAACTTTATTAACTCGTCATTGTTGCAAACGCTTGCAGAGAATGTCAACGGCCAAAAACTTGAGAAAATGAGCAACGAAATTTCTTTACAAAGGGAGCAGTTCTCAAAATTATCTGAGAACTTTAAGAAGCTTTCAGCAATGCTCTTAAAAGGGTTCGATGGACTTGAGAATACAAATACGACCATGAACCCCAAGCAAAGGGCATCGAAGAGAAAACTGACCTACTCGGTAAGCAATTAGTAAATTATATCATTATTGCAAACTAAAGGTGTATTATATTTGACTATTCTATTTAGCGCCTTTGGTGGAAAGCAGTTTTTTTTCTATATCAAGTACATAGATTTTTGTCTTGTATTCTTAAATATTGATTATATTATACATTCAAAGTGTACTAAATCAAATCTACACTAATTTGATGAAATATAACGTAAAGGTAAAATGAAGAAGTTAATAAAGGTAATAAAAACTATATACAAGGTGATATTCTGATCTTTTCCAGAATAAGGACGCTTACGTGAGCGATACTATAATCAATCATTGTTTTCTTATGTGCTTACCGACCACAGTAGCCTAGTGGCAGGCTGTTCGCTTTGTGATCCCTAGGTCCGCGTTTGATTCTTGTTCGCTGCGCCGCGTCAAATCAAAAGACGTAAAAATAGGGAATGACTGTTTCTCTATTAAGCGCCCGGCCTTAGAAGTAAAAGTCATGGGTCTTTTGAAAATCAAGGTCTTGTGGCACGATAAAAAAAACTCACTGCTGAATGACCTTTAGTGCCGAGTATAGATCTAAATTTGAAGATCTTCACCGGTATATGGTGACGCTTCTTTATGAGTAAAATGTTTAAGAATTTTTACATACACTTAATTGAAAATGGATTCACAGCGTTCCTTTATATGTAGAATCAACATAAGAAATGGAAACTTCAGTTCTGAAAAGTTTTATTAGTTTTAATGCTCTTACATGCGACTGATGTTTATTTCCATAAAAAATTTATATTTTACTACAGACTGCACATTTTGTCTTTGAATCATACATCTCCTGTACATTTCCAATTAACAATCCGCTTCATAGTTGTATGTCTATCAAATTATGATTTAAGAAAGTAATGAATTTCAACAAGGATTATTCAAGTGTTCTGTTATATGATTTTCATGGTTTTTCAACGTATATAATCTTCAAAAAATAAAAAAAAATAATAAATTGTGATAAGAATTTTTCTAGCATTTAGTTTATTAATGAGTCATTCCTTGCATGATTTAAATGTTTTGAAAAACTGTGGAAAAGCAAGGATTCTTATCATTAATTTAGATAAAAGATACAGAGATTGTCAAGAGATGCTGAGACAGAACAAAGACCTGATGAACCAGAACGGAGTATATACAATTTATCTTGGATGTAACATACCACGGAAGGTCTTCTGTGACATGACAACCAATGGTGGGGAATGGACGGTACTTCATTGTCGATAAATATGAATATTTTCCTAAATGAAAAAAAAATTCTTTAGACCAAAATGGAATACGAAGATAACGGACAGTAATCAAGCTGAAGACCATACAAATTTGGAGCAGAGCAAGCATGAATCTTTAAAAACATGATATGGTATCAGATGCAATGGAAGAGTAAGCATCTTCTGTCAGCCAGTCAAATTCTGCAGTGTGTTCCATGTCATAATCAAGAAAACGGAAAAAAATCTGTAGACAATTCAGTGAGAAATTATAAGCCTATCAATTTGTTTGAAAAACGTTTCTCAACATTCGATTCAATGAAAGGCTGTGTTTTCACCCTAACAAAAGTACTATAGTTAACTATAGTTTACTATAGTTAACTATAGTTAACTATAGTGATAATTTTGACACTATGAAAACTTTGATTTACTATAGTAATAACTTTGACACTTTGAATTACTATGGTGATAATTTTGACACTTTGATTTACTAAAATGATAACTATGAAAACTTTGATTTACTATGGTGAAAACTTTGATTTACTATAGTGATAACTATGACTCTATAGTGATAACTTTGACACTTTGATTTATTATAGTTAACTACAGTAAATTATAGTTAAGTTTAGTATTTTTGTTAGGGCAGTCAGCATTTCGTAAATAATAATCTTGTTATCAAATATAACCTGTTAGTGTTATTGCATGGTATGTAGGCTGACGGTTTCATATCTGTTTTTATACTGAATTCACTACGAATAGTTCCGTCTACCTGATCAATACATAGGGCTCACGTTGGGTGTGACCGGTCGACAGGGGATGCTTACTCCTCCTAGGCACCTGATCCCACCTCTGGAATTTCCAGGGGTCCGTGTTTTATACCATCTTCACATATTTGTATTGTTTATAGACTTTTGCGATCGATCACTGTTCGTTATCTTTACCTTTTTCATTCTGTTACAAGACACAACATGCTAGGATATCGATTTGTTAATAATTATTCATGTTTATTATAGAATGTTAGATATATAATATTCTTATGAATTTATATCATGCGAACAAATTATATCTTTTCATGTCTCTGTCTATATTCATTTTTGAAATAAATCAGATATGTTTAGCATTCTCGTTTATTTCCTTTCATTGAAAACAATTCAAAACTATTGGATAGAAATTTTCAGATATTTTAATAAATGCTGTTGAAATACTTCATTTAGCTAAAAAAACTTCTAACAATACAATTGTTTCAGGTAATGCAGAGAAGATTTGATGGATCAACAGATTTCAATAGAGAGTGGAAAGATTACAAGGAAGGTTTTGGAGATCCAAGTAAAGAATACTGGTTAGGTAAGAAATATTTAAAGTGATAGTTCAGTTTGACAATGTTATACTAGTTAACCCCATACAACTAAGTATTTTTAAAGTTCATTTCAAATGAGCATCTGGTCCTATTGCATGTTAATGGATTGAGTTGATTTTAGAGATTTAGAAAACTGATTTAATTTTCCTTTTCAATGTAAGTTATGCTTCGTTATGGTTTTGAAATCAGAATAATTTTTACAGTGACAAAAATGTAGTTTAAGGCTATGCACCCTATTTCATGGAAAAAAACTAATGAATCAACATTTACAAATTACCTTGTCTTTTAATATATAACAATGGGGTTAACAATTTCACAGGGAATGACGCAATCCACGATCTTACCGATAGAAGAGAACAAGAACTGTGGATAGACTTGGGAAAATTTTCTGGTTCATACGTGTATGCTCGATATTCAAACTTCTCAGTCAGGAATGAGAAAGAAAAATACCAGCTGGCTATTGCAGGGTACAGCGGAAATGCAGGTAACAGCCTGTTTATTGCGTTTATCGTTAAATAACACAGGAATCGCCTTTCAATCTGTTTCATTGCATATAGGTCAGGTACACCAACACACATTGCAGGTTATTCCATGATAAAAACTAATCTGATCCAAAAGAATAAAAACATACGGTTAAGTCACGTGTCTTTCGGATGAGACCTTAAACAACCGAAGTCCCATGTCGCGTTAGGCATTGGCACAATGAAGAACCCTTACTGCTCTCGTGACACTTAGTGACAAGTAAAGGTCTGAATATGAAGATCTTCACCAGCACACGGTGACGCCTCATGATAGCTGAAAAATGCTTGAATGGGAGTTAACCAACATATAATCAAATAATCAAATATTTTGTATGTATGAGTTGGGGAAGTACTCTAAAGTTGATATTACAAAGATGCTTGAGGTTCTCATTGACAAACTCTATGTAGTCTTTGAAGACCAAGTCTTCCAACAATCAAACTATGGCCTTCAATTCACCATTTAGATGTATCGACGACGCTTTATCAATTAACAATAGTACTTCCATGCATATGTCTAATCGATCTATCCCGTTGAACTCGAAATAAAAGATAATATAGAGTCTGCCATATCTGTTTCATATTTGGATGTTTTACTGACTACAGACGACAATGGCTAACTGATAAGTGAACTCAATGAAAAACGTTATGACTTCGGCTCTTCCTTTAATTATGTAGCAATGTTTCAATATCACCTGCATAATTATTGTGTTTATATTTAGCACTTGATTCGATACCCAAAAGTATGCTCTGCATACTACCAATTTTTATACTGAGATAAGCTATTGACAAATCCGTTTAAAATAAGCTTTACGCATTTTCTTTGATCTTTATAATGTAAAATACAAAATAACACTGGATAGTATTTTGTCTGACATGTGTCATACCTTACATTAAGTCATTGCTTTTATACTTAATTTGACTTCCTGATCAATACGCAAGGTTTTCCATCATTTGAACTTTTACTGTGTTGCAGACTTCATGCGAAGCATTAATATTCGCGATATTTTCGCGATCAAATTCGCAACTGAACCTATTCATTATAATTACACAAGCATACACGCACACAACTATTTTGACTCACTTATTCGTTAAACAAATGGTATGATAGTGCATATTATTAAAAAAATAAATTAAAGGATATTGAAAACAATTAGAATGTATCCAATTATATATAAAAATGTACATACTATAAACAAACCAACTGCCTCCCCCCCCCCCCCACTACTCACAACTGTAAAAAGAATACATATATACTATACCTGTATCAGTATTTACAAGTTGTTAGTATTAAATCTTGATATTTTTATATATAACTTCGTATTTTACACATGCACAGAAGGGCAGAAGAATTTCTTGTCGATACAATCTAACTACTTACCATCTTTAAAAGTAAATTTGTAAGTTTTTGAATTTTAAAAAGAAACTTTAGAATAGTAAAATACTTTTGGGGTGCCTTTAAATTCTTCAACAGTACATTTAACATCAATTAAATCATGGTATGATGTTTGACTCACAGTGCCATCATAATTCTAGAGACGTGATTCTGAAGTAAAGACATACATTTAATTATTTTTTATATATTTAAATAATATTTTAAACTAGCAATTATACGGTTGCATGGAAGTGTGACAGCATTTGATTTGTCTTTGTTCCTTCATGCGTTAAGTTCAGTGAGGGTCTAGGAGATAATACTGCAAGGTGAAGCAAGACAATATGCTCTAATTAAGAGATAATTAAATGATCTGCATAAAAAATTGAAAGACGATAGATTTGTTTGATGAAAATTTCAGTTATGCTCCGATTTTCTGATTATCACAGATTTTAGTGTGTCGCAAAATTTTTACTGTGTCGCACGCTTAAATTTTGAATTGTTACTGTGTCGGGGAAAATTTTTCTGTGTCGGGCCCGACACAGTAAAACAGCTCATGGATAACCCTGAATATGTAGGGTCCACCGGTGTGACCGGTTGACATGGTATGCTTACTCTTCCTAAGCACTTGATACCACCTATGCAGTTTTCAGAGGTCCGTATTTTACCCTGTTCCAGATTAGTTTTGTTTATTATATATTTGTTATATAATACAGGATTTTTGGATCCCTGATATGAACACAGGCACGCGCCCTGTATTACACACCCTGTATCAGCACCCTTTATTTCACCCTTTATCGCACCCTTTATTACCCTTTATTACACCTTTCTCTGTATTTTTCATCTATTTTTATTCGTTTATGAAGTTTATCTAAATTGTAATATTAATTTTACTTCATCAGATATTTATGCTATTCAAAATAATTATTTGTTTAATATATAATTATTTCATTTTTTATCACTGAATGCATTGTCTTTGGGAAAAAAAAAAGAGAAACGGAAATTCAACAAAAACAGAACACATTTGATTATTTAAAAAAATTGGTAATTAATTTACAAGTTTATATATGATTTTTAGACACTATTTTCAAATATATAATAAAAACAACATTACATGACAAAATCTGTATTAAACCCCATATCAACCCTCGACCAATATCAGCCCTCTGGCCTTCGGCCCTCGGGCTGATATTGGAGTCTCGGGTTGATATGAGGTGTGATACAGATTTTGCCATGTATTATTCTCTATTTACTGGATTTATGATATTGATCACTGTTTGTTATCTTCACCTTCTACATCCCCCTCCACAAAGAAATATGATTTTAAAAAAAAAGTAAAAAAATAAAGATTCCCCTTTAACTGAGATTTATCGATTTGCTAAAGAAATGAATCTTATAATTTTTTATTTGATCGATGTATCACAGAAACTTGGACGGAAAACTTCATCAATACACGTATACGTAGCGCATTTGATGAAAAAAGTTATCCCTTTAAGGGTTTGGTTTTGTGTGCAGCCAAGTGAGACTCACTAAAAATAAAAACCTTAATATCTCAAAAATCAAGCCTTGCTAACACTTGAAAACTGGTCCATGTCATCTTCATAATGAAAACAATCTCTGGGTATATGCAGCTTAATTGACACTTGCAGCAGTTTGCAGCTATGAAGTGCACAATACACCTGCAGGACTGCGCAGCCACAGGTTTTAGTAGTGCACCAAAAAATCCAAAAAAATATGAAACAGTTAAACCAATTAAGTGGCTACAACTACTTGTGAAGAACCTTTGATTTAAATGTAAACTCACTACAATAGGTACATTTCTTTAAATGCATACTTGTTTGTTAATCAAGAAAATGTTAGCCATGAAAGTAGTCCCAACCACATGGCAATGTGTTAAAAATAGAATTAAAGAGACTCACTGTTGATCTAAAAATAGCACTTTATATGAAAGCCCAGATGTATCTGTAATATTCTTATATTTCATTCAGTATTTTATATCTTGATTCCCACGGTATGAGCTTAACTTGAGTTACCTTGGTGTTCTTCAGATTTCTAAGACATTCTTGTCCCCCTTAATTCTCATAAAAACAAATTTGAGCCAATATTGTGGCCCCACCTTGGGTCATAAGGCCATGTCTAATCCAAAACTGATTCCACAACATGAGGATATTTCATTATCAATATGGCTAACATGGCTTATATGTTTTCTAAAGTTTTTTTTTTCACATGCATACATGCATTTACCAATTTATATATAAAATCTGATCTCAGATTTATTTGAAGAAAAAAAAATGAAAAAAAAAATACAAATAGAGAATATTTTAATATTATTATAATAATAAGTCTGGCAAATGATTTTGACCAACTTGAATCTTCACTACTTGAGGATGCTTGCATACATTATGAGTAAATCATTACCTTGTTGTTCATTAAAGGATGATTTTTTCCTATCTATTCCCATGTCAAACTTTGATACCCCTATTTCAGGGTTTAATTTTTATGGATGACAGATGGACAGACACCAGAGACTCTTTGATCAAAAAAGTTCAATAGAGCCTCTGCTCAGATGAGCTAAAATGTAAAATGTCTTTATTGTAAAAAAGTCACCAAGAAGAACAAAAGAAAAGGATGATAAATGAACTTTTTTATTCTTAATCACTTCCAGGATATTATATTTCTTTTAATATGTTAACCAGTATATGTTTGACTATTTTTTGTGAAACTTTCTTTAAAGATATAAGGTATAATTTTATAAATAAGCTTCAATTCTAACAATATAACTCTAATATAACTCTCTAAGATATTTGAGACCTGTGGTCTTAGCATGGGTTTCACAAGAGTGACTTTAAAACATTTTTTGCATTTAATGCACTAAACAATATGAATAAATTAGATAAAACACTATTATAATATCCTGTATCAAGATCCCAAAATGTTCTTCATTGTAAACTCGTGGAAAGTTCAAATTAATATGTATTTTTGTTTGGTCATCATATTAACTTTTTTTTAAAATGATGTTCGGAAAGTTCATAGCATTTGTTCATACAACCATGAAATCAAAAATATTAACTTTCTTTAGTCATATCATATGAAACTAAATCACAGTCTTCACATGTTGCTGATATTTTCTCCAACACTGCTTTCCAAAAGATTAACTGTTGAGACAAACCAACATGGACCAAACCCTCTGTCATTTGAATGATCTCCTTGACTTTGAAATCTGTAAAATATTAAATATAAATAATTCATTACATACCACTAAAACAAGAGGCCCATGGGCCACAACGCTCACCTGAATAACTTTGGCCCTGCTGCTCTTCACCAGACGATCTTTTTGTAATACCTATTGTGACCCCGCCCTACCCATGGGGGTCATGATTCTAACAATTTGGAATCTACACTACCCCAGGATGTTTCCATATAAGTTTCAGCTTTACTGGCCAAGAGGTTCTTGAGGAGAAAATTTTTAAAGATTTTTCCTATATATTTCAATGTAAAACTTGGATTCCCTTTTGTGGCCCCGCCCTACCCCCAGGGGTCAAGATTTGAATAGTTTAGAAGTTACGCTGCCTCAGGATGCTTCTACAAAAGTCTTAACATTCCTGACCAAGTGGTTCTTGAGAAGAAGA